TCCGGGGCACACCCTCATACGGGCTTGAAAATTGGCTATTTCAGAAGCTAAGATAGCTAGTCGCGGGCTCTCCAACAACAGCGCACTCAGCAGAACAGTGCCCTGACAAAATAAGGGGGATCAAAATCGAATCTAATGAGAGGATGGTGTCATTTGATGGCACCTCTTCACGTTCATAGCACAGGCCTATGCGGTTGAGACACTCGGTGACCTGCTACGTCAAAATTACAATAAGGGCGATGACCAGCCCACAGCTCAGGGTCTCGTAAAAATCATGGGGCACTGCCTCAAGACATTTTTTACCTTAGAGGGGATCATATATGAGCGAATTAAGGGCACTCCGCAGGGTTCACCAATCTCCGGGCGGTTCTGCAAAAACTCGAGGGTCGACTGTTCGAGGAGTACAAACCCAAGTTTTGTGCACGCTACGTTAACGGTACCTTTGTAATCATCGATCAGGATAAAATTATCTACTATGAAGGGCTGCTGAACTCAATCATTCCTGATCTACAGTTCAGAATGGAAGAGGAAGTGGAGGACAAACTCCCATTCTTGAATGTCCTCATCTACCGCTAACCAGACGGCAAACTGGCGACGTCAGTCTACAGAAAACCGACGAACACGCTGCAAATGCTCAGTTACAACAGCAATCACCTGCAACAACAGAAACGAAGCTGTGTCCGCACGCTAAACCGATGGGTGGAAATTCATTGCAGCACGCCAGCCGCCAAACTGGACGAGATAAAGTTCCTCCAAGAACACTTCCGAGCCAACGGCTATCCGCGTGCATTCGTTGAACGGAGCCGAAGGCAACCAAGGAAGCAACATGAAGAATACTGTCAGCCAAAATCGTGGCGGAGCATTCCGTACATGAAAGGGGTCTCCGAAGCCGTGGCTAGATCCCTCGCGCCGCTCGGAATAGGCGTTGCCTACAGGCCAGACTCCACAGTCCTCGGGCAAATGATGCGACCAAAAGACCCTATCCTTAAGCAGGTGATATCGGCTGTTGTCCACAGACTTCAATGCAGCTGTGGGAAGTGCAACTAGGCTGGGGAAACTGGCCGACGGCTGCAAACACGAATGTACGAGCATAAGTTGGTCGTGCGAAAGGTTGGACCCAAAGTCGGAGGTAGCAACCTATGCCGCGCAAATGGGACACATCTTCAATTTTGAGGCCGTTGAGATTGTGTGCCGGGGCGATGATCATACAACAAGGCGGGTGCAAGAGGCCTGGAAGTCCACCGACTGCTCTGTCAACCGCCACATCAATTTGCCACCTCTCCCGCCCTATCTGGTTTTACGAACCTTCGTAACGGGCGACAGTCACGGCGCGGGGCAATCAGGGCCGTCAACTATCTCCTCAGTCGACGACGGCGGGGGCGATTCAAGTCACGGTGGCAGGCGTGTCGGATGCAGCCACACAGGCGTCATTGGCGGGCCACACATCGAAGTACGCCATATAAGGAGAGCTGTGCGCATGCCTTCCCAGTCCCTGAAGATGGGTAGACGAAACAACTACTCAAAACGGCAGACCTCCAACAAACCTCTCCCAGTGAATGCCTCCTATCATTAAACACTGCTGCCCATCAATGAACTTATCAACTGTGATTAAGTCAGTTCCAGGTGAGTGCTTTCGAAGGTGATACCCCTCTGTCTTTCTTGCGGATAAGCGCGATCGGGGTATCTTTCAACGGCCGGAAGTATTAGAATGAAATTACGACAGTGAGAAGCATTTTTGACGGGGACTGAACTCAGGCGTCCTCAGCTAGGTTAGTTCCAGTGCCAAAATAACCAAGAAAGGTAGATGCGGATGAGAGCCTAAGAAACCGAGAACTATTTGTTTGAATTCTTTATTTATAAACATTAAGCCCCTTTCACAGTACAGTCCATTAAAAGATTCGCACTTGTCTCAACGGTTCTTCCACTTCTAAAAACACTTTTATGTTCTTCTAAACTAGTGATGTTAAGTGCCTCCTGCGTTCTACGTCCTAAAAGCGCTTTCTCTTTAGGTTGTTCTCCATTCTTTGGAAGTCGCAGGGCGCTAGGCTAGGCGAATAAGGGGGGGGGGGTTGGGAAACCGATGTCAGGCCGTTTTTTGCCAAAAACGCTGTGTGGACAAACGCGTTGTCGTGATAGTGCAGTCGATCCCCCGGTCGTCACTATTTGGGTGCTTTTTGTCTCATTACCTTGCGAAATCGTTTCAGCACTTGCAGACAGAAATGTTAGTTCACTCACTTTGATGTCAAAAAAAACAAACCATCCCGACAAGAACCAGAACTTGGTGCTGACGCGTTACTCCTTAGAGTTTTTCATCGCAGAATAACCGAGAGCGTTGGGAGGGGGGTTGATAATGCAATCAATCTGTCCGCTGCGATGGTTTCACATAAACGCCACTTGGCTAACTGAGCAGGAATAATGTTCAGTAAACGCACCGACGGGAGAGGGCAGCACTGTCAACCCGCTTGCCTACAGAAAATAATTCTTGTTTTTTGGGTACCACTCGAGTACAGTTGACTTGCGTCTATTCACGCATTTCTTTTTTTCGTAGAGTATATCACAAATGCTCGCCAGTTATTTTAATTGCAATTCTAGGTGTATTCACGCGTAGCTGGAAGCCATATATATTTTCAAGATTTATGTTGTAAGTGTTAGGGTGATTGTTTAAGGTACATTATGTGTCTAAACACTCGGAAAATAGGCAGTTGTAAATGTTTTTAGAGGAGCATCAATCATGAGTGGATTTGAGCTATTCACGGGTAGCTGTGGTCCCTAACCCCAGCGAATACCGGAGGTCGACTGCTCAGCCACTTAGCAAAACTCTAGACTGGAGCTGCCTTACAAGCCGCAATACCATATCCTGTGCCGTGATCAATCCAGACCAGTTAACATCGCGTTTACACAATGTACACGCGAGGATAAATTAAACGAGTTGCAGTGATTGAGAGCTAACTTGCGAGCTGTATTAAATCAAGCCCGACTGCCTCATTAGAAGGTCTGGATATGTCACTGACATCACTAAACATGCGGGAAAGAATCCGTCACTACCCAGTCACGGGTGTTTTCGATGAAATCAGGACGAAACTGTCGTTAAGGTGATAAAAATCGACTTAGTCAAAATCAAGTAGGGGTAACGTTAAGAATGCATAACAGAGGGAACGACTATAAAATGGCTTATTATTACCACTGGCTAGAATCGAAGGCCGGCGTAGTAGTGATGCTGACGGATAAATGCAGCGTCAAAAGGCATGAACAGTAAGACGGTCGGTAAAGAGCACACGACGACAGCTAGCATTGTTGTTGTAGTGTTGGCGGTACTGAAAGGTTTAGACTCAGGGCCATGGGAAAAAGAGGAGCTGAAGTTCAGCACACTTCCATCTGTTAGGCTGATTCGGTGGTCGTTCTGAAACATCTGGCTTGATTCGGTTAAAACTGAGTACGCCTCTGGCTCTGTGAAGAATCCAGTATAACATGTTTTGTGGGAGATTACCCGGAGCGGTCCTTCGTAGGCGATTCCAATGGCTTGCTCTAGCCACATCCTTGCCACCGCGAGGGATACGGCAGATCCGGACATTCCGAACAGTCATATGCATAGTGACACCAGCGGAGTACGCACAGCTTCACACCTAACAGTCAGACAAACGTCCATACACAGTTTGACCGTCGCATCCGACGATGTCTACAACAACAAGGTGAAGAAGACATGGTAACTTGCGCGCGAATAAGTTTATAGTTAAGGTAGACGTGTGTAGCAGCTACCTCACTCTCTCCTCCTTCCCCACCTGCACACAGTGTCAGTACAGAGTCAAGAAGACCGGAAACGGGGGAGAGCGCAGGTGGATGGCATGGTCGAGTCCGCACCATGGTGTTCCACTCCACACTCCCTGGTTCACATAACAAATAACCGGGTTTTTGACCAACAACAATAAAGAGAGTGGAGGCTGGCACGGCCGAAGCCGCACCTAGGCGTGCCGTCAACAGCTGGTTCGGATCCCACGAGGTGTGAGTGTCATAAAAACCACATTAAGAAAGAACCATTGCAGCCTGACTCTCAAACCACCAACCGGTCACTCCACAAACACACACACACACACAACACTGGGCCGGCGGCGATATCCAAGTTATCCCATAAGTTGGCAACCTTACAAACAACGGCTTTTAGCGTACGGTGATAGCTTCAAACGCGACAGCTTGTTTATAGTGAGGAAGAATGCCCTGAGTCGTCCACCTCACTCTCCCTTCCTATCCTCGCGCCTCAGTCACTGTCCGAGCCGGTTAGTTGAATGCAGCGGAAAATGGGCGCGGTGGCTGACATGGTCTAGTGACTTTTTCTGTGCACGCCACACACACACGACATGGCCCCCAAACACAAGCACCAGAACTTCACACAACGGGGGTTGCGCAGCGTATTTCTCACATGCGTGGGATTACGCTGGAAGGAGCTGCTTCGATCCGGCCCCCAGCCCACGAGTCCGCCGCTCCACACAACACACACACACACACACACAACTGGGCGGACAGTGTGGACTCCGTTGGGGCGTCAGTCAGCAGCCTTCCAATCTGTGACGCTTGACGTGTCGGGATAGTCTCGGACTCAAGTCACCCGTGCAGCCGAAGCCGCATGGGGACCGAGTCGAGATGCGGACTTCCCACTTGCGTGGGAGGTGGCAGTTGGGTGCATGAAGTGTGTGAGTGTTGATTTCTGGTGGGGTGATGGTGGTGGTGGTGGAGGAGGTAGGGAGTGAGTGAATGTGTGGTGTGGCCGGCGGTTGTCTACCGCAGGTCGTCGTGGATGCGCATATGGCCGAAAAGGCCCATGCGATGCCTGAAAGTGCTTGGACAATGTGGGCAGTTGAGACGAGCTTGGTGGGTATAGGTGGGTGCTCCAGGCACTGGTTCGCCAGTCTCTGTGCGATGGATTCGCAAGTGATCGACCAGGCCGATGCGTGAGGTGAATGTGCTTGGACAGTGTGGGCATGAGAAGTCGGCGGTGTCAGTGTCAGCTACAGAGGAGGCGGTGGTGGTGGTGTCGCGGACGGATGGAACGAGAGTGGGGGTGTGCACGGTGGATGTGTCGGATGTAGTGAGTGTGTCGGAGTGCGGTCAAGGCCGCTCTCGTGGATGCGCATGTGGCCGAAAAGGCCCATGCGACGCCTGAAGGTGCGAGGGCAGTGTGGACAGTGCAGGCGAGTGCGGTGGGTGTAGGTTGGTGCTTCACGCACTGGTTCGCCAGGCTCTGTGCGATGGATTCGCAAGTGACCGACCAGACCGATGTGTGAGGTGAATGTACGGTCGCAGTGAGGGCAGGTGTAGTCCTGATCCTCATCCCTGGAGTCGGGGGAGGTGGTGGTAGTTCGGTTGCTGTGCGTGGGACAGTCGCCTGAGCGGCCGCCGTTGGAGCAGTGGGCGAGGAGGAGGAGGAGGAGGAGGATGATGATGGAAGTGGTGGGTCAGAAGAATTGTCAGGGTTAGTTGGCGGCGGAGAGGAGGAGGAAGAGGCAGGCGGGGGGACGATGGTTGGTGCCGTTCGAGAGGCCCAGTTAATCCGAAGATGTCCAGCAAGTCCGATTTCAGCCCGTAATGTCCGTTGACATCGAGGACACGTTGGAACATACAGCATGTAAAACTAACAGGCAAGTAAGGAAACGGAACAAAGTTCGATAACCTAGGGATTCACTTACCTCGTGGCCTCCTGCGGTGGTCCAGGCGGAGTCTCGTCTCGAGGATGCCGACGCGAAGATCCGTCTGGCCAGCAGAGTTCACAGTAGCGTGCGCGCAGATGCACAAACGGATACCCTCACCTGGTATAGCTGCCGGTCGAGGCGGTTACCGGCGTGTGGCTGAGAGGCAGAGCCCAGCTTCGGGGGGCCACATATGAGAGTTTGGTGTCAGAAAATGGACGCTAGGCGTTGTCTGCACCTGCAAGCACGTAAGCGACCTACCATGAGCATCACATGAACCTACGCTGTACAGCCCTAGACCCCACCCACACACACACGCAATATTTCGACCGTCATTTTCGACGATGTCCACCGTGTGTTTCACAGCAGGGTGGGAGTAGGAACGGTGACGTACGAACGTACATACGCTTGGCGCGCCGTGGTAGCCTCAGATTCGAATTACACGTGCAGCAAAGAAGCAGCATGGAAACGGAACCGAGGCGCACAGTTCCCACTTGCGTGCGAGATGGCAATTGGATGCTTTTGGTGGGTGATGATGTTGTGTGATGCAAGCGGGGGAAGATGTGGTGTGGTTAGTCCGGCGGTTATCTGCCGCAGGTCTTCGTGAATGCACATGTGGCCTGATAGGCCCATGCTGTGGGTGAACGCGTGGATGCAATGAAGGCAGTTGAGGCGGATGCGTCGGGTTCATGTTGGTGCTCTAGGCAATGAATTGCCAGTCTCTGTACAATGGATTCGCGCGTAACCCACCAGGCCGGTGCGTGAGGTTAATGTATGGGGACAGTGTGGACATGAAAAGTCGGTGGTGCCAGTGTCGATTACGGAGATGGTGGCAGTGGTTGAGCTGTTGGTGGTGGATGCTGTGGGTTTGGGTTGATCTAGGCATGGGGGAATTGCAGGGGGTGCCAGGTGTGTCGAGAATACGGTCAGTTTCGCTCTCGCGGACACTCATGTGACCCAGAAGTCCACTGCGGTGAGTGAATGTGCGGGTGCAGTAAGGACAGTAGAAACGAATGCAGGGAGTGTAGGTCGGTGCTCCAGACATTAGTTTGCCAGTCTCTGTACGATGGATGCCAAAGTGACCGACCAGGTCGATGTGTGAGGCGAATGCCTGATCGAAATGAGGACAGATATGAACCAAGTCCGCATCGCTGGTGATGGCGGTGGTGAGGTTAGTGTTTGTTAATGTGTTTGAATTGGGTACAGTGGCAATGAGTGCAGAGGATATTGAGACGACTGAGGAGGATGGCAGTCTGGATTCAGGACTGCGGTTAGTGTGGATTGTCAGCGTGTGGGCGGAATAAAGGCGGACGGGGGTATCGATTGGTGTCGTCCGGGTGCGGCAGTTGGTATGGAGATGTCTTACAAGACCAATCGGTGCCTGAAACGTCCACTGGCAGCGTGGGCATGTCGGGGGTTGTTGAACCGTGCCGTTGCGAGGTGGGCGCATTTGGGATTTGCGAGTCCCGCGTTTGGCTTCTGCGATGGTGATTTAATTGGCTCCATAGATCGCTGCGCCTGTTTTCACTGCCCGCCTCCAGGTCGGCCGGCCTCGAGTGAGGTCTTTCCAGTTGGCCGGGTTGATCTGCAGACGCTTCAGCGAAGTCTTCGGTGTCCTTGTAGCGACGGGCATGGTCTCCTTGCCGCAGGAGCCCGGGTGACATCTTCATAGATGGGTCGTTTGGGTAGCTGCTCGTCGTCCGTGCACATCAGATAACCTCTCCACCGCAGTTGAAGCTATCTCAGCATGGCGTAGATGCTGAGGATTTCCGTCTGCGTCGGGGATCTGGTCCTGCCATCCCCAGTTTCAATATCCGTTGGAAACATCTGAGGTTGAAGTGGTTGAGCCTTCGTGTCTCCTTCATTTACACCCTCCAAGTCTCTGCTCCATGTAGCAACGCCGGTAAAATAACGGCATTATACACTTTCAAGTTCGTGCTGATTTGAAGACCGTGGCGATTCTAGACTGTCCTTTAAAGACGACCGAAAGCTTGGCTGACTGCCATTTTGCCGTCCATTCTGGTGTTATGGGTGAAGGTGATGCCCAGGTAGGTGAAGTTGTTCGCGGCTTGCAGTTGCGCGCTGTTCACGGGGATTTTGGGTGCGACGTAGGCAGCGTCGGGTGGCGGTTGATGCATAACCACCGCTTTCTCCGTGTTGATGACCGGGCCGAGGTTATCACAGGCAGCGACAAAGAGGCCATGCTCTTTTGCATGTCCCCTTCCGAAGTGACGTAGAGAGCACAGTAGTTAGTGGATAGAAGTTCATGGATGGACGTTGCGGACACACGTTACTGAAAAGGCATCTGTCGCTGATTGAAGAGTTGGCTGTCCGTCCTGTAGGCGACACGGATACCAGGGCGTTCGTCACGGTAGGCCGGTTTCTGATGAGCCGTGCTAACCATGTAGAATGCACTACAGCCTATCCCTATGCGCAAACTGTAAGTGCCCACAAGTTATTTATGTTAGTCAAAAGGGGGAGGAACCAATTAGCCACGAGGTGATACCTTGAGTCGAATTGTTTATGAAAGTTATATCCACGTTTTCGGGCGTATTTTACCTACCGAGACTAAACGCTGAATAATCACTACAAACTCTTATTGACGCCAATGGACATGCATTCTTGACTGGATGATCCGCCAGAGTTTAGTGGGGAGTCATCATCTGCTTTAAAAAAATTAGTGCCTTCCTCACGGACACCACATTGTTGATGCTTCCTCTGTCAAAAGCTCCTTCCTCGTCGGTGGTAGACGCTTTACTGATAGCTATAAGCTCATGATCCAAAGAATACATCACTGGTTCGATCCTGCCTTTGGACATCTCCAATAAATTGGCGTCGGTTGAAACGGTACTGTACATTTGTCTATGAACAGCTCGCTGTGTACTGAACCGCGACGAACATCCGCCACATCCTTGAAGGTCATGGATCCACTGTTATTATGGACAACACACCATCGACGTTTGCCCTTCCAGTTAATAAACTGTTGACCAGCCCTGCTCCCAAATAGGGACGATCTTGCCGCCAGTGTGACTGCGCAACGACGAGCAATTAGTGGCCTTTAGTTCATGGGTGTTCTCCCGGCCACAGGTGCCGGCATAATCCCTTGCCTGACCTCAACTCTGTTCCGTCGTCCACATACTTCGTTTTGATGTCTCGAGCTCTGTTTCAGTCTCTTCGAGGGCTATCTGATTCTAGTATCTGAGCCGCATAGAATCTCCCGAGGAACGTCTTGTGTGACACGACATGAACACGGCACACGTGCCTGGGCTGAAAGAGGAACCAGGTTTGGCGTGAAAATAGGTTAACAGTAGGCATACTTTCCGGCCCATACGCATGTTGAAGCCACTTTCATCAGGACATCGTAAATCATTTACTTGTATCCTGTGGCTGTGATGGTCGGTCTGCCTACTGGACCGAAGTCATTTGTTTAAAGAATGTTGAGCCCGATAGAATCCACATGTCAATTGTCAATGAACTCAATACCGCCATGTGTCCCTTAGAGGACACCACGCACTGGTATTCTCTTAGAACTGAGGTAAAATCTAGATCACAATGCGGTCGAATAGGTGGTTGGTGTTACGCTCCAGTTGTATGCCAGGATGGTGACCAAACCTCACGCGGTCTCGATGATAATCCCCAAAATTTCACCCACCTTATTGCATTTATACATTCACTTGTACAGGGGTCGCAGCGGAATCCACTGACTGAGTATTGTATGCAAATTTTGGGGTCTATGGGTGTCCAGTTGTAGGTCATAGTAGGTTGTTCACTCGCTTGCAGGAGTTGACCACGCCTAGCTTCCGGTAAATGCCACCAAATAGCTTGTGGGCACTTATAATTTACGTCAGGAGATAGGCCGTTGTGCATTCTGCAAGGCTAACACGACCCAGCTGAAACCGGCGGTAAAATGTGACTTCTGAAAACTTTTCTTAAACATGTTCGGATGTGTTGGGAGCGCCTACACTCCCAAAAACAAGAGCCAGCCAATCACGGGAGGCCACGTGCGTTTTCTCTACTGCGCTGTCATCTAACTCGTGGCGCCTCTCCATTGGCTTTTCCTCTCGGGCCTGATCGATCAACATATTCGAATTATCGACCGGCTCGTCTCGAATGTTCTTCCCGAAGGGCATTGGGCCGAACGTCGGCGAAGCACCTTAGGGCGTTATAAATACGCGTTACTTCCAGTTAATATTGACTTGCGATTTCCTAATACACAGTTGCGTGGCCGGTCGCGTTCTCCTTCTCTGCCGCGTTGGTATTGGGGACAAGGGTCGAGTGCGCATACGCTCCACAGGATTTCACGTACCAGGCGGGTCATAACAAATTGGCGACGCAGGTGAGATACTACAATGGCTGACGAGTACGCAGACTTGAAGCAGATGTTGCAGCAGCACCTGAAGCTAGTGGAAGCACTTACCGTTAAGCTGTCCAACTTTCAAGTGCGGCTGGTGGTTCGCAATCTGTTGATCACATTGCCGGCAGCATCACGGAATTCTTGTATGACCCGCAGGCCCATATCACCTTTGATTCCTGGTACAAACGATATAAGGACTTGTTCTCTGTCGATCTGGCTGCCCAGGACGATGCATGGATGTTTCGACTCCTACTTCGCAAACTGGGTCCGGCTGAACACGAGCGTTATGCAAACTTCATCCTGCCCAAGAATCCCCGAGAGGTCGCTTTCAAGGACACGGTTGAGACGTTGTCGCAGATTTTTGGTGATCAATCATCTCTTTTCAACACTCGATTTCAGTGCCTGCAGCTGTGCAAACGCGATTCCGATGATTTTATCACGTATGCGGGCATTGTCAATCGTGAGTGTGGGCGTTTTCAACTCGGTTCTCTTACTGAAGACCAGTTTAAATGTCTTATATTTATCTGCGGCCTCCAGCCCCCCAAGGATGCTGATATCCGGACACGTCTCCTGTCCAAAGTGCAGCAGAGCAACTCTATCACACTCCAAGAGCTGGCAGCAGAGTGCCAAACGCTGATCAATCTCAGACACGACTCTGCAATGATTCAGAACCCTGCCTCATTTTTCTCAGTCCATTCGGTCACATCGACCAAATCGCGGCCCAAGCAAGTGTCCAAGGCGAGATCTCCGCCACCCCCCTGTCGGCACTGTGGAGCGTGGCATTTCCACCGGGATTGCATTTTCCGCCAGCATCGCTGCCAAAGCTGTAATCAGGTGGGACACCGTGATGGGTTCTGCAAATCAGTACCAGCTTCTGGAGGCAAGCCAGCCCCCGCCACTCCTAATTCCAGGCACCGTTTCCGGCCAAAACGCAAGCCCAAAGCCCAGTCCGTTGGTAATTCTCTGAGTCTCTTGGCCGCTTTCCAGTTCAATGCGTCTGGTCGTAGCAAATTTGTTGATGTCTTGCTCAATGGCCATGCAGTTCGTCTACCGTTGGACACTGCCTCAGATATCACCATAATCTCTGAGAGACTCTGGCAGTCCCTTGGCAGTCCCACGATGCAGCCGACTTCCCATTCCTCCACAAGCGCGTGCGGTGGTCTCGTACAGCTAATGGGGCAACTACAATGCTGTGTGTCGTTCCGCGGTACCAGCATCACCGCGATCTGCTACATCACCAAGTCTGACCTCAACCTACTTGGTCTGGACTGGATTGAACAACTTGGGTTGGCCGATATGCCGCTCCGCGTTGTTTGCAGTCAGGTGCAGATTCCCGCTGTGCTTGCAGACCAAGCCAAGGACATTCTCCAACGGTTTGCTCCAGTGTTCCAAGACGGTCTGGGTCGTTGCACATACACTCAAGCCGTGCTACATCTGTCTCCTGGAAGTCAACCAGTCTTCCGTCCTAAGCGACCAGTCCCATATGGAGCTCTACCACTTGTCGAGGCTGAACTGAAGCGTCTTGAGGAATTGGGAGTTCTGGTTCCTGTATCCTACTCCGCCTGGGCCGCTCCAGTCGTTGCGGTTAAGAAGCCCAATGGCTCGATTCGCATTTGTGCTGACTTCTCCACCTGTCTCAATGACGCACTGACGCCGAACTGCTATCCACTACCGGTTCCGACTGATCTTTTCACCCTGCTGAATGGTGGCACTTGCTTTGCCAAGTTGGATCTCGCTGACGCGTATCTGCAGATCGAGGTCGCCCCAGAGTCGCGCGAATTGTTGACCATCAATACCCACCGCGGTCTGTTCCAATACACCAGGCTGCCCTTTGGTGTCAAGACCGCCCCGGCCCTATTCCAACAAACGATGAACGCAATGCTCTCCGGCATCCCTGGCACAGCTGGGTACCTGGACGACATCATCATCGTGGGTCGCTCCCCTGCCGAGCTGCAAGACCGAGTGTGCGCAGTACTCGAACGCGTGCAGGAATATGGCTTTTGCCTACGGGCCGAGAAGTGCCAATTCTTCCTCGACTCCATCAAGTACCTTGGATCCGTTTTTGACGCCAACGGTCGCCATCCAGATCCTGAAAACATTCGGGCCATCCAACAGATGCCTGCCCCCAAGAATGTATCGCAACTTCGTTCGTTCCTTGGCCTGATCAGCTACTATAGTGCCTTCCTACCATCGCTGCATGACGTACGGGCCCCGCTCAACCGTCTGTTGCAGAAGGATGCTCCTTTGTGCTGGTCCCCCGACTGTGAAAAGGCCTTCGCCCAGCTAAAGTCGATGCTGAGTTCAGATCTG